GTCGCTGAGGAGTTGATAAGGCACCTGTCCAATTTCTCCCAAATACGACTGGTACCGGATTTATTATTACACCAGGTATACCTTGGTCCCATAGATTTTACCTCATGTAGATCGTTGTTGATCAAGAAACTTTGAAAATCCTTGGAACCTTGAGATAGTCTGAACTTCTTCCCCCCTCTTTTCTCTTCCTGAGAAACAACACAGTTGAAATCCCCTCCTATCACAAAGGGAAGTTCATATGAACAAAACCTTCCAAGACTGTCCCAAAGCAATTTCCTCTCCTGTACATCAGTACTACCATATACCGAAGCCACTTTCCAGCACCCTTTGCCAACAACATTCAAATTACCCACCACCAATTGGGAAGAACTCTCAATTACAGAAAAATCAGCTATATCATTTCTCCATAACACCATCAGGCCTCCTGACAGGCCCACTGCTGGAACTAAATAGAAACTCTACTTATCTCCCAAAAGCTTTAGAATTTGAGTACTGTCTAAGGTATTAATCTTCGTTTCCAACAAACCAACAAAGAACACCCTGTGATCCTTGATCACCTCCTTTAGATATAGAGCAGCCTCCACTTTCTTGGCTCCTCTACAATTCCAAAAGAGTAGAGAACTCATTGATTAAAAATGGGGGAAGGGCCCCCGACCTTCTTTACCTTTCCACTCTCACCTTTCCTATTATGAGGAAGTATATTACCTGCTCCAAGAGATTTCAACTCCTTGAGAAGTTTAGCTTTCTTTTCCAAAGAGTGGTTCCTGACAGAACTTGATTTATTTTTAGAATGATCCTTCTTCAATGAGGACCCCGAATTTTGCTTTAAATTTCCTTCTTTCAGACCCATAATAGGCTGTGCCGGTGATCGTAAGACTTCTCCTTCTTCTGGTTCTTCTGCAGCTTCAACTTCTGAGACCACCACATTCCTTTCCTCTTCTAAATTTGATAAAGAATCAAATTTATTCTGAACCAGCACTGAAGATCCCAACTCCTTACCAACCTTGAGATTGTCATCTGGATGAACACTTTTCTCTGTCACCATATCTCCATCATCAATAACTTCCTTAACCATATTTTGATTAACCCCAGCTACCTCCTTCGGTTTATTAACCAGATTAATAGCATCTGAAACAATCTTCCTTTTCTGGTTGGTAGTTCCAATTTTGGGAACATACAATTTCTTTATATGAACCGAAAACTTTTTATTGAAAAATTTCCTATTATCCATTCCTCTGTTCACCTTCTTCTTCCCGTGTTTAACAACTGTCCAGGAGCTTTCTTCACCCTTACCCTTCTCAAGCTGAGAGTACGATTCCACCAGAGGAGGATTCCGACTACCATTCATGACAGTAATTGGATTATCTGTATAATCAGATCCAACCTTCTCCTTCAAATTCATACACATACTTCCATCATGCCCAGCTTTTCCACATTCTTTGCAAATTTTAGAAATCCCCTCATATTCTACCTTCTGGAAGAACTTTCCTGTTAAACCTTCCACCCATACCCCTTGAGGCAGTTTCAAATCCAGAGGAATTCGCACACAAACACGAGCAAATTCTCTTCTGCTCCATTGAAATAAGTTTCCATCCAGTAGATATGGTTTTCCTACCTGTGAAGCAATCCTGCATATGTTTACCTCATCCCAACATTGCAGGGGTAGGTTGGGCAACCTAATCCACACCATAGAAGATATTCCCTTTAAAGAAGTTGGGTTGAAATTAGGTGACCATCAATCAAGACCAACCACATGGCCTCTAATCCACCAAGGTCCACCTGCTAATACCTTTTCCACCACTGAAGCATCTTCAAAAGAAAACAGGATCCAACCAAGACCAAGACCAGTGATGTGGAATTTCCCAAACTTATCCCACTGTCTTCGTAAATCTGTACTAATAACTTGAAAGGGAATATTATCACCAAAAAGTTTAACTACAATAGCCTTTTCCAAACATTTTCCATTCTCTAATTCTTTCTCAGTTTGTAGAAGCACTACTTTCCCGTCATCTGATAAAAAAGAGCCCAACTCCAAATTATCAAACTTCACATATGGCTTCTTCACCCATGCCGAAGGAGCCTGGTCCTTTCTTCCTTTCACCTCTTCCGAAGCAAGATCCTACAAAACTGTTTTAAGGCCTTCAACTGGACCATCACCTACTTTGTTTTGAGACAAAACCACGTCAATTTCATCTGCACCCCGAGAAATTGGAGTCTTCTGAACTGTTCTACTAACAGACCTTCCAGCTGGAGATGAAGGCAATGATTTTGAAAGAAAACCAAAGTTAGAAGAAATCCTCAATTCTCCCGAAGAAGATGCTTCACTCCTCCTTCCTACATTTATACCATCAACAGCCGAAATCAGAGATATCTCCGATGTTCGCAGAGAAACATCCTTGAAAATCTCCTTACCCTTGCTTGACACCAGAACGGGTACCTCCTTTCTGCCCAAAAGACCTCCTTCATTGATAATTAAAGGCTTTTCTTTAAACCTCTTGAAATTCTAATTAAATCCATCAAGAACTTTTGATCCCACATTGAAAACCTCTGAGGAGTCAAGAACTTGTGCCGATAATCCTTTCCTATACTTTGACCATGCCTCCGCAGGGAGAAGCCGCCGCTGATGCTCCATAAACTCCCCCCCCCCCCATCCCCCCCCCCCCCCCCCAGTCGCCGGAGATCCGGCTGTGCACCAGCCAGAAACCACCGCAAACTGTAAGAACCGCGCAAACAAGATTTGAAATCCCAAACTTTCTCTCACTATACTTTCTTTAAACCTCTAGATATGTGATGTTTTACACTAATCATCTCGGATAATATGGTTAATTTTTTATCATCCTGACATCTATCAGAGCGATGTTCTAGATGATATGTAATGTTTTATACAAATTAGCCCGGACGATCAAGTTACTTTTTCATCATCCAGACATCCATCTAGGGCGATGGTCTGGATGATATTCGATGACTTATACTAATCGTACAGGATTATATACTATCATCTTGGATGATCTGAGCAAATGAACCTTTTAATTATCCAGACTCTTTCAAATTGTCTTGGCTGTTTGAGCTAAATTTGAACTTATCATATGGGATGATTGGTCAATCATCCTGGATGATATTTTATGATCAGTTGCAAATTAGGGCAAATTTGGAGACCTTATTTAAAAGATCTCTTATTTTCTCTAGAGGAGATATTTTGCTATTATCCTTACCTGAGAGAGCCAAGAGGAGAGGGAGAGCAAGGGAGATAGAGAGAGGATCTTGTGAGTTGGAGTTTATGGGGGGTTTCATAATGGTTGCTCAAAGAAAGGATCCGAGTCATCTTCTTCTGTCATCGTCCCTGGTTCCTTGGAGGTTCGATAGAGGTCTACTTCATCAATTAATTGAGATTCTTTGCTTGGTTCAGGAGGGAACAAACGGAGTTGGGTTCTCTGCCTTCTTCAAAAGGAAGCTAAAGGAGTTGGGTTTTCTGCTTGCTTCAGGAGGAAACAAAAGGAGTTGGGTTCTCTGCCTTCTTCAGAAGGAAGCAAAAGGAGTTGGATTTTCTGCCTGCTTCAGGAGGAAGCAAAAGGAGTTTGGTTCTCTACCTCACAAGGGTCGATAGAAAGGAGTTTTTGTTCAGGCTTCTTTTCCTTGCTGTGGGGGAAAAGGATAGGCTCTGAATTTAGTATAATACCCAGAGGAGAGTCTCTAGGGATTGGATGTAGGTCAAGTTGATCGAACCACTATAAAATCTGGTGTGTTCTTTCTTATTATTTTTCCGCATTTAATTTTTCCACTTTAAATTCTATGGTTATTGCTTTGTTATGTTTGTGATTTTTTTTGGAGAAATTTTTAAATACATATTCACCCCCCCATCTCTTGGTTAGCCTTGGGGCTAGTTCATATGGGCTTAACGTCCTTGATGAACTTTCACCTATTTTTTAACTAATCATACAGGATGATCCAAGCATCATCTACGCTGATATATTATATTTCTTCATCAACCAACATGTATCTGTTAGATGATTAGAATGATATGCTGGACAATATGTATGATTTTCAACTAATTATATAGGATGATGTACTGGATGATAAAAAAATAGTGAGTTCCAGCCCACCCATATTGTCCTAGTTGGAAGGGCTGAAATACACTAATCGTATAGGATGATCTGTCAAACATCCTGGGCGATATTTGATGGTAATTTATAAATTAGGGAAAATTTTAAGCCCTTTTTTATAAGATCTCTTATTTATTAATGTTGAGATCTTTTTCCATATTTCTGACTTGAGAGATCTTAGATAAGGAGAGGGAGAGCTTGGGAGAGAGGGAGAGAATCTTGTGAGGGGGAGTTTATGAGGTTGTTCCAAGAAGGGATTTGAGTTGTGCTCTCCATTCACTGTCCTAGGCTTTTTGGTCACTCTGGGAAGGTCTTCTTTAGCAATCAATTAAGGTGTTCTTCCTGCTTTAGGAGGAAGCAAAAGGAGGTCAGGTTCTCTACCTCATCAGGGTCGGTGAAAAGGAGTTTATAAAAGCTTCTCTCCCTTATTATGGGAGCAAAAGGAGAGTCACTGTATTTTAGTGTAATACATATAGGAGTGGCTCTGCAGAGTGGATATAGGTCAAGTTGACCGAACCCTATAAAATTATGGTGTGTTTTTTCCATATTTTTCAGACACTTTATTTTTTTGCATATTAATTTTTATAGTTAATTATGTTTATTTAAAAATATTCAAAAAGATTTTAAAAAGTTTTTACATTGTGTTTAAGAATTTTTAAATGACCCATTCATCCCCCCTTTTAGTTAGCCTCAGGCTAGTTCATGAGGGCTTAACAACCCTAACGAACTTTTAAGTGGTATTAGAGCTGGATTCATAAAATCTAGTTTTTAAAACTTTTGCATTTTGATCCATGGCTAACTTTGGTAACTGAAACACTGTAGAAGTGTATTCCATTACCTAACCACCTTTGTTTGATAAGATACCTTTTGATTTATGGAAAACTCGCATGTCCACATTTTTACAATCTATAGATTATCACATGTGGATGCTTGTTAAAGAAGGATATTATGCACGAAAATGTAAAATTAATGGAATCAAAATTGAACTCTCTTTTACTGAATGGACTTTTGACGATAGGGATCTAGCACAACTTAATGCAAAATATTTAGACTGCTTTTTTTGTGTATTAAAATTTAAAGATTACATGTGTGTCTCAACTTGTACTTCTAGTAAAGAAATATGAGATAGATTGTGTGTTACTTATGAAGGCATAAGTGAAGTTAAGCAATCTAGGTTGAATATCTTGCTTCACAACTATGAACTCTTTTGCATAAAATCTAGTGAGTCAATATCCAAAATTTATATTAGAGAGTGAGTTTTTCTTACGAGAGGTATGTAATCTATCATACGATCTATTGCTTGAAGTTTCTGAGAA